ATCTTCCAATTCGTCGATGGATAGAAGTTCCTCCGATCTGCCCCCTACAAAGAAACGTATGCGAGCGTACGATTTTTCCATATGTTTTGTTTATAAATCACTTCGTCATCACTTCATTGGCAAACAACTTAGTTGGCTGTCAAGAGAGACTAGGAGGAACTTTAATCAAGAATCGTCTTTCTTATAGGAGAAAATAGTAAAGAACGTAGTAAATAGTGAGTAAAAAATACCCAAAAATATCGCTTTTGCAAAGCTGGAACATTGTAGTGTAGAAACCGATTAAGGGAGTTCCATTTGATGCTTCTTCAAAACTGTACTCACTATATAAGCAGCCAAGGTCCCAACGATGATGATATAAGAATAGGCCAAATCCTGATCTCTAAATACTTTGTAGCATATTTCCTTGACATTTTCTTGATCCAGCAGACAGCTTTTGGGCAAGCTGATGCTCATGCGTATGTAGGCGTATTGGTCCATTAAGCCGCAGCAATTGAACTACAAGAATCCAGCCAGTAATGACCTTCGGAGGGGGATTTGACGCCTAGAACGTACTTCCTCCTGAAGAGAGAACCTGAAATGAAAAAAAGCCACAACAACGCTTTTTCAGTTTACGGCCAACACAACGGTCAGACCACGCTGGCCAAAGTGGGTGGTGCTTCAAGATCCATCAGCCCTAGAAGCTGGAGAAGCAGGTGCGCTGCTGGTAGGCATATTTGTGGTAGGTATAAGGGTCTACTTCGGTCTAAATCGGCTGCTCAAGTTTCCCAAGGACTTGTTCAAGGATGTGCCGCGGCAGTCCCTGAAGGACAGTGTCGCGCCTTGCCTCGTATTCCTCGCCACAAACTATACACTGTACTGACATATGTTATGGCACTGTTAAATTCAAATGTAAACGCGAAATTTCGCGCCTAACAGCACCTAAATCTGTGTGAGCTTTTGTCAGTGAGCTAACATGCGCGCGAACTCTTAAACTCGTTCTTAACGTATTTATTTTATAGGTTATTTGTATCTCCGCTATTCATTGTCAGTTTCGTTCCGAGGATTAATAGAAATTCTGTGTACGCTCACGTTTCGTGACCGCATAATGTACTCAACCTTTTGCTCTGTCTAATATTCTACGTGTAGCTTTCAATTACGCTCCAGACAGGCGACACATACCCCGGCAGAAGACCAGAAAATAATATGCGAAGGGACCTGCTAGTCTTATCCTTTGTTTTTGCGTGCCTCTCGCTAAAAATGCTGTTAATATTTTTCCCGTTCGCTGGAAGGAGCAAAGAGGGAGAGTTGAGCCGGGGTGTGCAATTATTTGAAACATCATCGTGTATGACTTTCGCATTGGCACTTGGAGGCGGAGGCGGAGGTAGAGGCAGAGGACAGGACACACGTTGGAGACGCACCAACGTCAATGACTGACAGTTTATTTAATAGAAAATTCGCCGAGTGGTGTGTGTGTGTGCGTTGCGTTGCGTTTGTTTTCCAAATAGTTTCCCCCCCCCCACACACACAACACACTCCAGCAGCAGTGACAAATTGTGTGGAAAATATGCATAATATAATAAATGAAGCCATGCCACGCCACGCGCTGTGAAATGTGAACTTTTCCAGTTCTTAAAAGCAAGAAAGGACGTATGGAGCTGTCAGTATTCAATTTCAATACTTTGGCTTATTATACAGAACAAATAATATGCATTCTTATAAATGGAAATCAGAGTTAACCGTGCATATACGGTTAATACACACATGCATACATGTACATATGTACATATGTATGTATGTACTACATATGTTTGTCTGTAGGCTGACTCTTTCCAATTGCAATCCGATCCGATCCCTAGAGAAAGCAAAAACGAGGCGACGGCGAATTCGCGACCAGGCGAATTACTCATCATCACAGCAGAGAAAGAGCGCACAATTGAGAGCGCAAAGCAAGAACGAGCGGGGGCGAATTATTTCGAGCACGAAGCAGATCGGCGAGCTGAGCTGCAAAACAGAAGCCGAGCTAGGGCGAATTCGCTCCCCGGCGAATAAACGCAGCGAGGCCGCAAGAGATGGAGAGTTTGAGTGATATCAAATCAGCGACGAGCAATTTCAGTCTCTTATGGGACTATATTTTGTATTTAATAAACAAAGGCCCCACACACAATTCTCTGCTCTACTCTACTCTAGTAACCCGAACATTCTAGCAATTTAATTATTTGTTTATGTATTTATTTCCCAACCCAATCTGCACCAATTAACTTTCTCGATTATCAATTACCGATAATTCAATTGAAGTGCACTTTCAGCTAGAATATTGTGTTTTCTTTTCGCGATGAAAAAATGTAAGTGCCCTGCACCGGATGTGTTCCGTGGCCTCGCTCCATATGGAGCTCCAGAGAGCTCCAAACCGCATTAATTTCGTGCCATGCGGCTACGCAGAAACAAAATCAGAAAAATCTGGAAAAGGACGGGACGGACTCAAAACGGCGGAAGAAGCAGCGCAGGAAGCGGGGAAAAAAGAGAAATGGGAATCTAATAAAAATCCACTTTGTGCAAGTATGAAAAATGAACGATGAATTTCATTATAAATGCAAAAATACATAGCAGGCGTGGGGGGGGGGGGGGGAGTGGTGCGGTGGCGTTGCTGGACATAGACAGGCGGCTTCAGTAAATCTGATCAAAATCATTGATGCGCACAGAATGGGGAAGCACGCGGTGCATGCCACAGTACGGTGTGGTGCGGTGCGGTGCGGTGCGGTACGAGGAAGGGGCATTGCCAGGATGCACCAGCAGGAGCAACTGCAGCGGAACGTGGCGCACTTGCAAAGTTTTTTGTACCCCCCACCCCGCCTGCCCTGCCTGCCCCGCCTGCCCCGCTTTGTGTCGCTAAGCTGTTGATAACATTTGATGATGACGACGACGCTGCTGGGATAACCGCAGTGATAATGTTTGGGATGGCGTGCCAGGTGAACGCCGATTGCCAAGGACAAAAGCCAGCACATCCTGCTCGTCCTGCTCGTCCTGCGTGCGTGCGCAGCATTGGGAAAATTTGCGTTGAAATGGAATTTATTTTTGGCTTAGAGACGGATGATGAGCCCCGGAATAATAGTGGAGGAGCAGCTCAGCTCCGGCAGGCAGACGAGCACCGCAAGGAATTTATAATTATTTGCAGGATGACTTTCTGGTCTGGTCTGGCCTGGCCTGGTCTGGTCTGGCCAATGACATTGGGCTAAGCAAATTAGTCTGTGCTTTGAAAGAATCCGTGCAAAAACGGCGTGTGAATAATTATATTCGATGGGGATTTGACGATTCAGCGGCTCTGGTGCAATCCTCCCGCTCTGCTGCAGTGTGAATTAGTTCTGTGCAACATCTTGGATGCTTTCAGTTTGGGGTCTGGTCCCTCGTGCCTTTTGCACAAAGCAAATCAACTGTAGTTCAGGTTAGACTTTTTTATCTCAGAGCTGCAATCTGCCGTTAGCAATCGCCCCCTCCAGGCCCCCGCCAGGCCCCCTCCAGGCCCCCGCCAATGCCATGCAATTATTTGTATAGGAATTTAAATTGAATGTCAGTCTGTTTGTTTCCCTAACATACACACCCGGACAGACACAAAGACTCTCTCACCCTGGCATACTTCCACACACACACACGTACACTCACACACATTTGGTGACAGTTTAAGGAACATGTGGAGGCAGTCCAGAGAAGGACTCAGCCAGGAGCCAGCAGCCAGGACTGGGTCTGGGTCTGGGTCTGGGCCTGGGACTGGGACCCAGCATTGTCGCGCTGCACATAAGCAGTTCTTGGGGATCCTTCGTTGCTTCCTTCCGTCCTTGTCTGCTGTAAAATTCCAAATTTGTTTTATTTGATTTCTGCTGCTGCGCTGCCGCCGCTCGTTTTCTTTTCCAGTAGTAACTGCTGCTCCTGCTTCTGCCACTGCCACTGCCACTGCCACTGCTGCATATTTCCCTTTATGCAAAATATATGCTATAAATGCCACGCCTCCCCAGCAGCGCCCCAGCAGTGCGCTGTGCGCCGTGCGCCTTTATTTGAATATCGTGTCACATGTCGCACGCAGTTAGGTGCCGTCTCCGTCTCCGACTCCGTCTCCGCCCCCACAGGCATCCCCTTCGCCATCCCCATCCCCATCCTCTCTCTGTCGTTGTTATTGTAATTGTTGTAAATGTCGCCCAGCGACAATATCACATTTGCATATTTCTCTGCCAAACACTCCGCACCCCCGTGCCCCCCACCCCACACAGCACCCCTCTCGCATCCTGGCGCTGTGTGCATTTTTACTTAATTTTATTTGTATTGGATTTGCGCCGATGTCTTTGCCTGACATTCGGCGACTGCCGTCAGCGCGTGTTCCGGCTTTGGCTTTGGCTTTCGCTTTGGCTTTGGCTTTGGGGCTGCACTACGCGCTTTCGGAATTCTGCAATTTGCACAATAAATTTTAATTCAATTTACTGTTAAGTTCGCACACACACACAGACAGACAGACAGACAGGCACAACTGCAGCTACAACTAAATGCGGACGCGGAAATGCACATTCGGGCTCGGCAATCGTCCACTGGGGAACGGGGAATGGAGACAGTGGAGCCTGGATATCCTGGCAATCAGTTGGGTCCTCTCAAGACTCATTTATTGCAGGGTAGGGTAGGGTAGGACTACTAGAGGGTACAGATCTCACTGTGACCTTAGAGATGCGGCTTTCAGGGCTTCGTTGGCCTGTCCCTGCCCTCGCTCCCAGCCGCACGACCGCCGTTAGTTGGGGCAGTTTATGCCCTGCAGCGCCCCAAGGCAGGCCATAAGTTGCACTTATTACGATAATGGCCGCGCATGTGCAGCCATTTTGATTGTGCCGCAGTGGCGGGCATTTCCGGCGCCGGCTCTGATTCGTTCTAAGTGAATTGAATGTGTGCGCAGCTGCCGGCAGTTGCGGGGAATCGACTGAACTAATTTGAAATTGCTGTCAAAAGGGCGAGACACTTTTTCGTTTTCCCTTTGCTTGGCTTTGGTCCTTCTCTCTCCGTCGCCTTTCCTTTCGAAGCTCTCTCGGGGAATGGAGCCCAAGCCAAGGCCGGAGCAGGCGGAGCCAACGGAACTGGCTTTAACCGAAATGTGAGTGTTTTGGGGCTACTGGTTTGAGGTTCCTGGATTCCTGGATTCAAACTTGTCCTCCCTGCAGTCGCTCCAGGTCGTCGTTCTTCATCTACAATCCGTACGAGAAGCGAACCGTGGAGGTGCCGCTGACGTGAGTTGCCCTTTGCTCTTCCCTTCCCCTCGTTGAATCCGTTCGCACACTTCCCCAGCAACTGCGATGCCGTCATATCCCTGCTGAAGTGCGTGATTGGCACCGGAATCCTGGCCATGCCGCTGGCCTTCCGCCACTCGGGCGTTCTGGGGGGCGTCCTCTTTTCGGTCCTGCTGATGATCCTGCTGACGTACTCCATCCATTTGCTGGTCTGTAAGTGGCTGTGGACAGCCCCCCGCCCCGATTTCTCATTGGTTTCCGGTCTCTTCCGCGGACAGATCGCCGGCATGACCGAGTGCTGTCGCAGGCGCCGAGTGCCGCAGGTGTCCATGCCGGAGGCCGTGCAGATTGCCTACGAGCTGGGGCCCAAGTGGGTGCACCGCTTCGGCCGCACCGCCGGCCTCCTGACCGCCTGTGTCCTGGTCTTCGGCCAGTTCGGGCTGTGCACCGTCTACCTGGTGTTCGTGGCCAAGAACTTCAAGGAGATCGGCGACTACTACGGCGGCAAGTACAACGAGCGCTACTACGTCCTGGGCGCGTGCCTGCTCCTGCTGCCCCTCTTCCTGATCCGGCGTCTCAAGTACCTGGTGCCCCTCAACTTGGTCTCCAACTTCCTGCTCTACGGGGGCTTTGCCTTCATCATGTACTACCTCTTCAGCGGGCTGCCCGATCCCCGCGAGCGCCAGCTGACCACATGCCCCAGCGAGTGGCTGGTCTTCTTCGGCATCGCCTCCTTCTCCCTGACAGCCGTGGGCTCGGTGAGTATCCCTTTTTCGCCGCATCGGGGCTGCCACTGATCCTCTTCTCCGTAGATGCTGGTTGTGGAGGCGAACATGGCCCAGCCCCAGAGCTATCTGGGGATGTTCGGTGTTCTGAATGTCTCCGTCTTCTTCATCCTCCTCTCCAACATATTCTTCGGCATCATGGGCTACTGGCGGTTCGGCGAGATCGTGGAGGCCAGCATAACCCTGAACATTCCGCAGAATGAAATGTAAGAATCCCGTCCCAACTTTCGCTCACTCTCGCTCGATCTCTCGCAGTCTTTCGCAGCTGATCAAAGTCTTCATTGCCACGGGGATCTTCTTGAGCTATCCCCTCAACGGCTTCGTGGTGATCACGGTGATCTTCAGCGACTACAGTGAAGCCACAGAGAAGGGGAGGTACCACACTCTCCAGGAGTATGCGGTGCGCCTCAGCTTTCTGCTGCTCACAGGTCGGCATCGCTGCTCCAGCCACTGCCCGAAGGCCACTCACAGCTCCTTCTTCCGCGCAGGTCTGGTGGCTGTGGGCGTGCCCAATCTGGCCGCCCTCACCGAGCTGGAGGGCGCCTTCTCTCTGAGCAATCTGAACCTGCTCTGTCCGGCCCTGATAGACATCTTCCTCAACTACGACGTCGGCTACGGGCGTCTCAGGTGGAAGCTGGTGCGCGACCTCCTGCTCATCGTCGTGGGACTCGTCTTTGGGATTGTGGGCTGCACGATGGCCATGAAGCAGTTGGTGGACGACTTCCGGACGACGCTGCAACACATGTAGCTTCCATCGCATCGGCATCGGCTCCTGTTTTTATCATTGCTGTTTTGCCCCTCTCTTCTTTCTTTTTGCAATAAAATCGGCTTTTCCAGGAGGTCCTCTGGTGCTGCATTTAACAACCAAATATTTGACTGGGTTTCGAGCTGGTTGGCGGCGGAGGCGGTGGCTCCTTTTAATTAATTGCCAGCCAAGTGTTTGCCGGCTGAAGGCTGCCGGCTTATCCCCCATTAAGTCGGTTGTCTAAGCCGCTGCCTTGCTTCCTGGCTTCCTGTTTGCTCAACGTGGCGTATGCTTGATGTTCGCTTAGGTTTAATTAGCTCTCATCGGGCGGCGGGCGGGAAGCTCCTGCCACTGATCATTTCAACATGAAACATTTGCCATTTGTCCGTAATCAAATGCAGCCAGCAGGACCTCGAGTCCTGTGCACTCTGCTCACTCCAGGTATGTGTTTTTTTTGGGACAAGGATAGGAATAGGGATAGGAATAGGAATAGGGGATTTTAAAATTGAATTCCTTGCCTCAATGGAGCGCAAATACAAAAGGCAAAAGTTGCCTAGCTGCCGCACAATAAACTAAAAGACAAATACACAAATACAGCCAGACTCCCGAGGAGTACAGTCCCCGGCAAACACACAGAAGTAGGCACAGGAAGAGCCACTGCCGGGGCGACTGTTGACGGCGCGCCAGTGTAAATAGCACGGCGGAATACAATGCGGGAAGCAAATGGAGTACGGGGAGGAGCTGCTGGCAGCAGAAGACGCTGGCAGGCGCTGTACAGCCGGAGATGGAGCTGGGGCTGGGGCTGGAGAGCACAGCTCCTCAAGGAACTGCTGCACGACGAAGGACAAGGAAGACCACTGCAGCAAACATACACAAAAACACAATTTCCATTCCTCAAATACGGAATACAGAAAAGAAAAGAAAACCGAGAATAAAACGTTGCGACTGCCAGCGACAGCAACCAAGGAGAGGGAGTAGAGGAACGGCAGGGGGGGGGGGGGGGTTGGTGCGGGGTCCCTGTTGTCCTGGGGCATGATTTTTGCAGACATGTTGCTTAAAACTTAATTTAGAGCGCCGCTTGCACTGGCCTCCCAAAAAAGCGAACTAGGGAAAACCGAAATGAGATCAGGCGGGGAAAACGGGGGGGAGACGGGGGGCAAACGGGGGGGGCAAACGGAAAAGGCGGAAAAGCATGCGGTAGCATAGAAAATTCGCATTCGCCAGCGGCGGTCGTTTCAACTAATTCTCGTATATAATTTCGTGGCCCAGACAACAGTTGCCTCAATGGACCGCCAGGCGGGCGGGGCGGAGGCGGGGGGTTGGAGTTGGAGCAGCAGCCTGCGTTGCGGCTGGAGCTCCAGTTTCTTGTGCCTACGAGTAGTTGTCAGTGCAGCATCATGTCAGTGTCATTATCAAACAATTCGCTTGCTGCAAAGTCAGCCAAAGAATGCCACAGAGAGAGAGGGACAGCAGGGGCAGGGGCAGGGGAAGGGGGAGAGACAAGCTGGAGTCATGTCTCACATGCGGCTCATGGGGTAAGTTGTCGCTGTCCCTTCTTTCAGGCAGCCAAACAATGCGTGCCACAACTTCATTCTCTGTCTCTCCCGCTCTCCGCTCCGCTCTCCTCGCCGCTCCGCTCCCGGCTGTCACATGTCCTGCCGTCGAGTCCTGTCACGACATTCTCTCAAATTGAAAAAATTCCCATTTTAATACAATTATTTGTAGGCTAAAAAGAAAAGGAAACGACGCCGAGTCTGGAAATGGAAATGGCAAACAGATATGGCCGAAACGGAGGACGTGTGATCGGCCACAGAACCAGTGACTGGGAAACAGTGACAGATATTCAAAGGACAAACAACGATTGAGAAATAGAAAAGTTTTTGATTGCGGGTTAAGGCAGAGATTAATGGTGGATCCACCGATGGTGGAGCAGATTCTCACATCAAATATTCGTGTCCTAAGAAGTCTTTTAAATACTGTAAATATTGCAATTTATTCTCTGGGCTAGGCCCGGAACCCAACGGTTAAACCAGATTTGCGATGGATGTGCCACCCAACGGGGCGCCTCTTGGATCCAGGCCCTGCTCTGCGGTCTGCCCCCCTCGGATATCGGCCACACATAAAGTGACTCTTCACTGCTGTGTGCTCAGGTGCTGGAGCTGTGGAGTAACTGGAGCAAGGTCTAAGCTGCCGCTGACCCGGGAGGGGCACCGCACCGTCACCGGCGTTTGCCGAGCGGCTGTGGCACGTTCCGTTTGTGCCGCCTAACATTTATTTACTTGGCTGACTGAAATGTCATATTTGCTTTTGGCCACGTTTACTTCATTCTGATTTCAGCTGTGTGTGTGTGTGTGTGTGTGATTTGCATGCTGAAGGGTAGGGATAAAAATTAGACCTCAGAGAGAGAGAGAGAGATAGAGGGAGGAGGGGGGAGTGGGCCGGGGGGAGGTGCTGCGAGAAGCATCTCAACTATTTACTTATTTATTTCTTATTCGATGCAATTTCGCCTGAGAATTTACCCGAGTTTCCCCCCCGCATTCTCCTACATTCAGCCCCCCTCTGCCCCCCCGCCACATTTCCTCAGCTTGCTTTCTCTTCATTCGTGCTTTCTTTCCAATTTGAAATGTGCTCCGCCGGGCACTGACGTGGAATAATGCCGGTATGCAGAGGAGATTCCCTTACACTCAACCATCCAGCCATCCAGCCATCCATCCATCCATCCGTCGAGATATCCCTCTAAGCATTCGGTCCTGCATCTAACCATCCATCTATTCAGTCGTGTCCCTGTCCCTGTGCCTGTCCCTGTCCCTGTCTTGGCCTTTGCTTTTGCTTTTGGTTTTGCTTTTGTTTTGCGGCATGCGATTTGTAGATTTTTCCAACATCCCGAAACCCTTTGCCAGAGGGATGCCAGTTGCCAGTTGCCAGATGCCAGACGACTGGTCAACAATGTGCCAGTGCATAAGTTGGCATTATGCAACAAATATGCAACAGAGCTGTGGGTCACACACTCCCCCTCCGGAGTGCCCCAGTGGCAGGGTCGGGAGGAAAAGAATTGAGGAGCTTCGGGTTGGCAGGCGATTTGCATAGACAAACAGTCCAGTCCGTGCATCTTAAAGATACACAGATACATGCTGCCCATCCCTGCAATCAGTGAGAGCTGCCCCGCCGCCCCCCTTGCCGCCTGCAGCTGGCTGCTAATTAAGTGTGTGAATTCCTATGGGAAGAGGGGCGGGCACGGGCACGGGGGCGGGGGCAGGGGCTCTTCTACTGCTCTTCTAATGAACCAACTAATTGCAACTAACGGCAACTGCAAAAGTAATCAAAGTGGCAGCCTCTGAGCCCACTGACTCCCTGGCCCCTGGCCCCCCGGCCCCCCGGCCCCCAAAAGAGTCGGCCAAAATGGCAATAATAACGAAAACTTTGTTCAAGAATTTTCAGAATGTTGCACAAATATGCGCAGAATGCAGGAAAATATGCTTGGACCAAAGCAAACATGATTGGGTCCCAGGCGGGGAGCGGGCGGGGGGCGGGGAGTGCTGGGGCCGACTGAAGTGGCAGACAGAAGCTCGTTCAAGTTGCCGCTACTGTTGCTGCCTCTGCTGCCTCTGTTGCTGTTGGCTTATATCAATAATTGCCAAAAGCAAATTGGAAAAGTTATGCGCCTGCAGTTAATGCGACCAGCGGAAATAGTCGCAGCCAAAAATGGCGCAACAGCCGAACGGAAGTGCCCGAAACACCCACAAGTACACACACACAAGCACACACACACACATACTCATGCATGAATATCCAAAGTTGTTGACTGTACTTTGGTTATTAGTATTCTCGTTTCGGGGGGAGCATCAGGCTTGATGGCAGAACTCCATTCGAAGATCTACGAGTGCGTGCACACGCACCAAATACCTTATAAGTAAACATATAGGAATGCATTGCACTCCAAGGAAAACTCTGCACTGTTCGGCTTTGAATTAATTCTAAAACTATCCAGGATAAATGTATGATATTCGATTTGTAGCACAGACACATCTCTGTGCCGCAAGAGTATCCCCAATTTCGGCCCAAACTTTCGGCCCGATCTTCTTCTTGTTTTGTTTCAACATTTTGTTGAAAACTTGGGCAGTTTTTTCTTCGTTTTGGCAGAGAACTTGCCGCTGCCACTGGCAGTCGGGGATTTGTTGAAGGACTCTCAAGTAACTCTCGTACTTTCGGCATCGATTCCATTTCGAGTTGGAGTTGGCGCTGGAGTTGGAGTTGGAGTTCTGTTTGGTTTGGTTTGATTTGGTTTGATTTGGTTTGTTACTTTTGCATTATTAAAACTGCGCCGTTGGCCGCACAAAAGGCCTCCCGGAATGGGCCTCGGCTCGGCTCATTGAATTGATATTTGCCATTAAAATGTCTGACTGACTAATGACCGAGTGGTGGGTGGGTGGGTGCGTATATAAGCAGAGAGTGGGGCCCCAGAAACGGAACTACAATCCAACATGAATCGTGCTTCGGTGGTGCTGCTGCTGATGGCCTGTCTGACGGTCCTGGCCGAGGTGAGTGCTGGAAAGAAGGACTTCCCCTAGAGGAGGCTACTCCCTGCTCACTGCTCACTGCTCTCTGGTCCTTCCGCAGGGCCGCTATGCCAAGGTGAACCTCAATCTGGGCCTGACAGTGGCCGATGAGGCACCGCGTCCCCTCAGCGAGGCCATGGTCCGCCTGTGTGGCGAGCAGACGGACATTGCCCTCCAGCAGCACGACCTCTCGCATCCCTCGGAGCCCGTCCAGTGCTTCACCCACTGCCTCTACGAGCAGATGGGCCTCCTGCACGACGGCGTCTTCGTAGAGCGCGACCTGATCGGCCTCCTGTCGGACGCCAGCAATCCGGCCACCTGGCCGGAGCGCCAGTGCCACGCGATCCGTGGCTCCAGCAAATGCGAGACGGCCTTCAGGATCCATCAGTGCCGGCAGCAGCTCAAGGAGCAGCACGACCCCGAGGCCACCAAGGAGGCGGACTCCACCAGCACTCCCTCGCAGGCAGATGACTTCTTGCCCTAGGCTTTTAC